AGACCATTCTGGAAAGTTGCCAAGGTCTTAAAGACGCACCCTAAACCCATTCCACCACTCAAAGATGAAAATGATGACGATCGGCTCATAATCACCCCTCAGGAGAAAGTAAATGCGATTGGTGAGCATATTGCCAAATCGCACTTGCTTGGCTCCAACATCCAAAGTCCGCTCGAAGTTCAGGTTGAGCAATGCGTACTCAACTTTGATTCCTCCCCTTGTGCCATCCCTCCGGAGGATAGAATCACAGTGGATCAGATTTGCTCAGCGCTGAAATGCACCAAAAACATGAAGACCCCCGGGTTTGACGGAATATTCAACCTAGTGTTGAAAAATCTCAGCATGAAGGTTCACTCTCTGCTGGCTGCTGTCTTCAACAGATGCTTGGAACTGCACTACTTTCCAAGTATCTGGAAGACAGCGAAAATCATACCTATCCGCAAACCCGGGAAGGACCCAACGCTAGCTTCAAGCTACAGACCAATCAGCCTCCTTTCAGCGCTGAGCAAATTGTTCGAGAAACTCATTCTCAATCGTTTGCTCAAGTTTGTCGAGGAAAATAACATTCTCCTTCCGGAACAGTTTGGGTTCAGAAAGGGGCACTCCACCAATCACCAGCTAGTGCGGGTGATGAATAATATCCGAAGTAACAAAGCTGTATCCAAGTCCACAGCCATGGTCTTGTTAGACGTTGAGAAAGCGTTTGATAATGTCTGGCACAATTGGCTTGTATACAAGCTTTGTAATTTCAACTTTCCATTACATCTGGTTAAAATCACCCGTAGCTACCTCCAGCAAAGGTCGTTTAAGGTATCATTGAATGGTTGTCTTTCCGACACGTTTTCCATCCCAGCAGGAGTCCCGCAAGGCAGTCTGCTGGGCCCCTTGCTTTACAGCATTTACACTTCCGACATTCCTCCCCTTGGAGACGGTTGCGTGTTTTTCCTGTTCGCAGATGATACCGCAATAGCCGTCAAAGGAAGGATGCCTCGCGAAATAACGAACAAACTTCAACGATGCCTTAACGCCTTTGCTGATTATGCCACCACGTGGAAAATCAAAATCAATGCCTCCAAAAAGCAAGCGATCATGTTCCTCCATCGGCAATCGCCCAAACTGAAACCGGCTCCATCTTGTACTGTAATCATGGATGGCACAAGGGTTGAGTGGGCCGCCGAAGTAACCTATCTCGGGATGTTGTTTGACGAAAAGCTCCCATTCCGCTCACATGTGGAGAAAACCGTAATCAAGTGTTCCGCCTTGGTTAGGTGTCTGTATCCGCTGATTTGCCGCAGATCCCGCCTCTCAAGGGTGAACAAACTGGCCGTCTACAAACAAATCATAGCACCTGCGATCCTCTACGCAGCTCCGGTGTGGGAATCATGTGCACAGACTCACAGGAACAAAATCCAAATCGCTCAGAATAGATTGCTGAGGATGGTTCTTGATCGTCCTTTCGACACTAGAATAACAAATTTACATGAAGAGGCAGGCATTGCCAAAATAGATTCCCGAATTAACGAAATTAAGACTAAATTTGCACAAAAATGTATTTTATCAGAACATGCTTTGATAAGCAATTTGTATATAGTAGATTAGGTTTATATAGTAGTTGTAGGTTAGTTATAGTTGTAAATAGTAGTTATAAGTAGTCTCCTTTTTCAAATTTAAAACAAACCAATCCCACCAAGGTGGTCATTCTTAAAACAGGCCTGATAGTACTAGGAACTGTAATTAATAATAATTGAAATTTCAAAGGAATTAAAGTTGAAAAGACGCATCTGTGTCACTTGATAAGTTATACATGTAAACCACACAAATTCAAGAAATATAGATCATTTAAAGTGAAAATTCATGTTTCATTCTGTATCCTGCATTTAACCATTGAAGAGGAAGCAGCGAATAAATAAAGGCAGAATTGAGAACAGTGTCTCATTCTTTTCGTCCGAGAACGGAGATTTCTCGATGAACATTTCAAATGGTCCTATCTGCTTTGATCGATTCTCTTCATCGACTTTCTCTTTTCATAACCACTGCTATGCAAACAGATTTCGCGCTAATTCTACCACATAGTTTGATAAAGGAGGTTCTTATCTAGCGTCCAAAACGTCAAATACAACAGGGAAAGGTTTTGCAGCTGAGTTATTAGCGAAAGAGAAAGTCGATGAAGAGAATCGATCAAAGCAGATAGGACCATTTGAAATGTTCATCGAGATTTCCCGTCCAGTTCCTGTTCGTTCATCCACTGGTTGCATGTGGTGATCGATTCATCTTCCATAAGTTCCACCTAGTGGACACTATTAAAAGAGTTTAACTTTCCTGCCCCTGCCCGGAGCCTTGTGTTCGGCAGTTTTGCCGTGGTCCTTCGAGAGAGAGAGAGAGAGGTTTACTTCGCTGGTGGCTGTAGTGGTTACAGCTGTTGGCAGCTCAACGACTGGTGGCTGAAGAGTTATCGGCGACCCATCGTTCCTACGCTGTCCGCTGTGGTGTGCGCAGCCAACAGTGCATCGTCCCTTCGCTGGTAGCTGTGATGTGCACAGCTGTCAGTGGCTCATCGTCCCACTACTGGTGGCTGTGAGGTGCACAGCTGTCGGTGGCTTGATCACGAGTTGTGTCGTGGTCCTTCGTTCGAGAGAGGCATCCCGTCGCTGGTGGCTGTAGCGTGTACAGCCAACGGTGACTCTTCGATCCATACGCTGGCGGCTGTGAAGTGCATAGATGTCGGTAGCTCGATCACAAGGTAGGTTTTTGTTGTGATCTACCCCAAGAGAAATTGAGTACATAACAACTTCTATCGATGATTTCTAGGAATTCAAGGCACGTCCACGCAGACCAACCTAACCATCGGATAGGGGAAGTCTTTCCCTACCCAATCATGATGTTGGTTTGCGTGGGCGAGCCTTAAATTTCTAGAAATTATCAAGAGAAGTCATTGTTTTCAAAAGCTGTTACGCCCTAATTCCAGCTCTATCTAGAGTTGTGACTTCATCCTTATCAACCAGCCTTATATATGAGAACAACCGTGGCCCAGTGAGATCGAATAGAGATAACGGCAGTAGCACACCCCAACAGTCAAATCCCAAATCTGACCCATTAAAAAAAGGCATGTGTATGATCTGCCTTCTGGCAGCTTTGCTTATATATTTGTCGGTTCAACTCAAAAAACTCCACACGTCATCATCATGTGTCCCACACTTAATTGTGCACTTATTGTGAAACACATCCATTTCATGTGTGAATCTTATACTGTGAACCATGCCTCGACATTATTTGGTTGAATTGTGACACACTTGGAGTCTATGTACACAATCACAATCGCTCCAGTCTCTCGTGACAGTCACGTGAAGCAATTATGATAACAGACCCTGAGACTTTATTAAGACTGGCGAGTTACACCATGTTACAAATCTATCTCTTGATGTGGTTTTTCGGGTAATAACAATTATCATAACATGTTATAGCTCTGCAGTCTGAACATGGCATTAGAAAATCAACTACTGATCTCAATGAATTGGTAGATCGAAATTCTAATAAAAGAATGACGTATCAATGCTTATTGATTAGTATTATCATTATTCATAGTTTCCCACAGCTATCATCGCTCTAGCTTAGCTCGACGAATCGGCACACGCGACGACACGCTATACATATAGCAGCATATAGCAGAGCAAAATTTGTTTATTGCGATAATTAATTGCTGGGCAAAAATTTGATGAGCCAGGAACTTAGTAGCATTTTGTGCCTATAAATACTGCAGGCCTCCGCTAAACCCACTTCAGCGAACTATTCCCAAGTTTGAACGCCTATCGCACCATCATCATCAACAGCTCAATTGCTAACGATGTTTGCATTCATTTTTCGGGCATTATATTTCGTGTGACAAGAAGGTGTGAAAGTATGACGTCATGTGCTTTTGCTTGTTCCGTTTGTTAATTCATCGAACTACTTCCCTATTTCTTATGTATTCCTAGCAGGATAGTAGCGGTCAGTCGATCACGTGCAAAGTGTCGCTGATCAATATTGAGTTAATAATTTACACATCCACCTCTATTATGATTGCATCGACGAGGGTGCACCTACTTCAGATAGGCGTGGATAAATATGATGCTCTACAAGTGCAGGTGAACTCGAGATTTGATTTTAATAGTTTCAATAGGGCTATCAAACCATGCACCATGGAAATGCACCTTTGCAAGTCATACCTCAATAAGGCGTAATATAAATTGATAATGGCACACGCGTTGACCGACGAATAGCAGCTGATAGGTGTTATTGACTTGTCATCGAATGCGCTAGACAACAACCAACAGGCGGCAGATAGGACATATACAGTAATCTAGTGAGACAATCAATCATTTTATCAGATACCTACTTTATGGACAATATTCATTACTATTCATGTTTCCGTGAATTATTTGTTTCTACTACTATTGAATTGATGTCGTCCGTCAATATATTTTTGTATGTGGTAGACATGCCTAGTTATAAGCGGGCAAGTCAAGCCAGCAGTCATCGTCTCTACTGAATGTTTCGTTTGTCGATTCAGCACTCTTTCTATACAAACCACAACAAAGTATGTAGTATGCTCAAAGAAGAGCAAGTCGATCAGACCGATAAACGTTTATGTAATTCGATGCACCAGGCAGCACAGCGATACAGTAAACGAGTCACACTCTATTGCTACCTGGAATGGATGTTACTGGATAGGAACTACGACGACAGAGCAAACACTTTAGAATCTACCATCGCTAACCATTATGGCATTATTACACTGCCATGTGTTGACTTGTTTTGTTCAGAAAGCGCCTGTTTATCGCAATGGAATACTCAGAACGTACGTAGAAACGCAGACAAAAAAAAACCGAAGTGAATTATCACTTTGTGCTCATTCAGCAGTTGTAAAAGCTATGAATAGCAAACATTGCGAAATTACACATCAGCCTTTCGTAATAGTTAATGCTCTTAGCAGCTAATGGAAAATAACAAAGCTCCGTACATACCTTCACACCCAACGATTGTTCCTTCAGTCCGGGAAAACGTATTCGGAGTTTTTCACACCACCAAACAGGAACGGCAAATCCTTCTTATTCCTCTTCCCGACTACTACGAGCTTATTCGCATCAACCGCACCACGAAACTAGTCGCAGAATTTGGGGCAGGAACCGGTTTTAGTTTGACTTGCCTTCACTTCCCACGAGACACTGATGCCAAAAAATCCCCTTGGCAGCAGCAGTCGCACCTTCCAGAACAACGAAGCTAATAGCTATCTCGCTGCTGCTATTGGAGACAGATTCAATAGGGCAGATAAGAGATCACACGCACAGGTACTGAGTGATGTTGTGTCATCGAAGCGAATTTTTCCTCGGGACTGCCTCGGATGAGATAAATTCCGCTATTTTCCTCGCTCGCTCGCTGGCGACCGACCGAACGATGATTGATCAATCTACTAAAACGAGACCTTGCCTATCCACCGATTCTCCAAGGCCGGTTCAACACAGACAATCGGTTCTATTGTGTCTCCGTCTACTAATCCGACAATCACTTCTAATCACCTATACAACGTCCTTCATAATACCGAGGCAAACAATAAGAACACTACCGACATCGCGATAGCACAGCAATCACACGAAAAAGCAGAAGCCAACTTCCACACTCGCTGACCATCTACCGGAAAGACGGATAACTGACCGGCTCCGACCACGAACGAACTGAAACTGACCGACCGAAGAAGAACCGCACGACGAATCGCTGGCTCGTGGTTGTTTCGCGTTTTTGTTTTGATCCATCGTACACAATTACGCCGATTACGCGCGATCCGGAGGAGTAATGCAACTGGCTGACAGTGACAGCCGGTGCCGCAAACGATGCAGAAAAAGTGCATCGATAACGCCAACAGCCAAATCAAAGCATAGGCGTTACAAAAATTTGAGGACAGAGGGGGCACGAAAAATAAAATAAAAGATTTTAATTATGAATATCTATATGCTCTGCACACTGAAACAAGGACCATAGTTTCATGGTCAACTATATTCAATTCATAGTAGATTTAACATAAATTAGCGTGGTTATATTGAAAATAAATGTTTTCTGCAAAATAGTATTCCATTTTGCAGAAAACACTTATTTTCAATATAACCACGCTAATTTATGTTAAATCTACTATGAATTGAATATAGTTGACTATGAATCTTAACAAATTTACTATGTTTCTGACAAAACTACTATGCTTGCTCAAAATGCATAGTAATTTTGATAGAAATAATAGTAAAATTAAATGAAATTATTTTCTGCAAAAATCATAACATAACATTTCAGGCATAAGTCAAATAACGGCACAAAAGCATTTGTAAACAATCTTTCTAAGGCCCTTTACACGCGTACCAAAGTACGCCCACGCAAACCAATACCACTTTTAGGTGATAGTTGCCCCTATCCGATGATGTTGTTGGTTTGCGTTTGTTTACAAATGCTTTTGTGTCGTTATCAAATGTTATGCCTGATCTATTGGTGAAAGGCATTTAATTTAAACCAGCAATATAGTATTTTTACCAATGGATTTTGTTTCAGTGCATGCTCGGTTATGGCGACCTGTCTGTATGAATAAATGTATTGTTCACTGCGTGTTTTTTGACACTATCTGGAGGTTCGGGTTTTGACCCCTGCTTTGCCCTCTCCCAGGAACAGAAGAAAATGGAACCACATACGCCCTCCAGTAACTAATAGCGAATTCGTTTATTATTCTGTTCCAACCTGGATCGGGTATCAAGATTGGGTCTACTTGTTTTCTGACAAACGTCAGTTTGCTCGTTTGTTTTTAAAACCTAGCTCAGGTTGAGGTTCGCACTGACAAAAAGTTCGGTTTCGCACTGGGTTCATTATGCATTAATTATGTCACGCTAAATCGAGCAAACAAATTACCCCTCCCCCCTATCGTGACGTTTTTCCTATACCTAATGCATTGTTTGTCACAAAATCTTAGACCCCCCCTCCCCCCGTTAGAGCGTGACATAATATATGCATCAACCCTTGGCGTTGACGGCATCGTCGAGAAATCACGAGGGACACGCACAAATCTTTCAATACTACGCAGCCTAATCAAAAAACAGTGTGAACATTTCAAAGGGGCGTAATTGCATTTGAAAAAAAAAAGGCTTTACCCATCGATTTCTCGCGAAGAAAAGCTTACTCATGAAGATTAATGACACCAACAGGTAGATGAATGTTTCCTTTACCAGCCAGCATTGTTAATTTGGAGGGATGGGCTTCTAGTTGCGAGAAATCGATAGCTCAAGCCATTGTTTACAAAAGCAATTGCGCCCCTTTGAAATGTTGGCACTGAAATATTTAAAATCTTATCATTATTGCATTCATTACGTTAAGGTGGTTCCATAGACGTAACTCTCGATAGTATCATAGAGGTAACTGTAAAGGCCCACCCACATTAGATCCGTTTGCGGTTGACGTAAATTTGACAGTTAGACAATAGATTTAGCTGTCACTTTGCCGCAACGCGTCCGATCCGGATCTAATGTGCGTGGGCCTTGAGACCAGAAGGTCCCGAAGAAACGAGCTCAACTTTTTGGCTCAGCTCTGGTACTATCTTCGGTCCCAAACAAAAAGATGCAAGTCTACCAAATTTTGAATTTAAGTGATGGTCGACCAGCAGATGGAAATGAAGTGAAAAATGATAATGACGTTTTGCTACAAGTCAAATCGTATGGAATATTTTTTAGTACCGTAAAACGGGGTATCTTTGATAATGCGGGTAACTTTGATAGAATAATATAAATAATAAATTTTCTCGCTGTGCTTTTTCCAAATAAGAAACATTGGTTCCATATTGTAGCTTAGGGTATTTCCGTTGATATCGTATGTAGTTTTTATATAGTATGTGTTACATATTTTACAAAAATATTAAAAAACCATTTTCGTGTTTTTCGCATTTTTGAAAAAGCACTCAAACCATCACTTATGAAATGTATTTCCGATACAGCCATCACAAATTCAATGTTGAATTATTTTTGCTTATGAAGTTTTCTGATTATATACTCATTCAAAGTTTCATATTTAAAGAACTAAATTGTTTGAGTTTCACTCATTTTTTTTCTACATTCATCGAGCATTATCAAAGTTACCCCAAATCAAAATACTGAAGTTTGGTCACAAAACTAAAAAAAAAATAGGCAAATGTTTTAATTTTCGTTCAACATATTACCACAGACAAACAGACATAACACTCACAATCACAATCATCGCAAATAATGTTTTAGTTGGGAATGTGCTTGCATTTGTCATGGTGGCGCCACTGAAACATTGAGCAAGACGCCACATTTCGAACTTATCAGTGATGCCAGATCTTTTTCACGTCTAGTTAGTAGGTGGAGACACATACCACCTCTTACAAAAGTTGTTGAATATTACATCAAAACTGCTGGACGTAAGTCATTACCTTTATAATATTACGATGTACGATGCACACAGAATTCGAGAATAAATCAATTTGTTGACTGTAATATTCTATCAACTTTTACCAGTAATTGATGAATACTTCACCATGAATGTCATTGATTGATACATATTATAGTTTTTTGCTGTGTACACGTTAAAGTGATGAGCGGTGGTAGAAAGTGCACTACTTAATGATGCATTACCTCGTTTAAAAATTAGTTTCCAGCAAAATAAAAAGCACACTATACAAACAAAACTAATCCCTTAAAAAAGTCTGAGCTTCTGTGAATTTTTCCTACGGATCCGTATTTCTGCAGAATTCAATCAATTATATAGATCTACGGAAAATTTCGTAGAATCGACATCACTGACTTCCATCTGTTTTGTTTTTATTCAACACAGCTGACACGTTGACAGAACGAGGGAAAAGTAACTAGTGAAAAATTGCATGGACGAGGGATGCTCCGGTTGCAAAACAATGCTTGGGAATGTGGCTGATAGATTGTGCTAGTACGCATGCAAAATACGCTTGACGACATTTTCTGAAAACTGCAGCGCCCTATCTGCCAACTAGTAGGCCTCAGCCAACAGTCTGCCAACAGTAGCCCTATCTGAGTAAGCCAACTTGTCGGATTGAAAACTTGTTGGAACCAAATCAACTTCGGTTAGCCATCTTGATGTCATTTGTGACAACTGTCACACTTTCCGTTTCCGTTCCGCTTTCGTCCACATTGCGTTTGGGCCTTTAGTTTTAAGATCCGCAATTACAAAAATGATGATGTACTAAACAAAAAAATGTCAGGCAATTTGACAGATATCAAAACGTCATTACCATTTTTAGCCACTCGCCATCTGAGAGTCAATCGTCACTTTGATTCTTCAATAGAATTGTTTGATTTTTGCAGAAATACGGATCCAGTGGGATGCCTTTGGCCCTCTTATCATTTTCAAGAGCTGATATCTACTAAATTGACCTGAAAAAGAACTGGCATCACTAACAAGTTTAAAATTAGGTAGCTTGCTAAACACTTCAGTGGCGCCACCAAAACAAATGCAAGCACATTCCGTACTAAAACCTTATTTGCGAAGTATGTAATTGTGTGTATTATGTCTGTTTGTCTGTGGCATAATTCTCCAATTAAGAGGGACGTACAATGCTAATCCGAAAGCATAAATAGAGGTACTGTCTGATAATTTCAGTGCTTGGTACAAACAATATTTGGTTAAAAGGGATAGAGATATTCACGATCAATAACGAAATTTTGCATAAAATAAGTGCAAAATTGTGCACCCTATTTTTGTGGTGCTTTTTTTAGCGTTCTGAAGAAAGTCCTACACTCAAAACAATTATCACATATCTAATGGATGAAAACCATGTGAATTTCACATAGCTAAAAATCCCACCACAAAATCACATGAATATTATGAGGCCGATCATATGAAAAATCATGTAACATTAACGTGATCGCATAAATGTTATGTGAAATTCAGATAAATTCCATTAATTTTGTTTATGGATGAAAATCATTTGCGTTTCCAATTGAAGAATCAAAGTGACGATTGACTCTTAGATGGCGAGCGGATGAAAATGGTAATGACGTTTTGATATCTGTCAAATTGTATGACGTTTTTTTTAGTATATAATCATTTTTGTAATTTTGGATCAGAAAACTAGGTTTTGCATGACCGGTTTTGCCTTTGCTTTGATTCGCCAATGGAAGCTACATGAAAACTATTTTCGGTATACCTTAACTACTTTGAAAATTTACTCTACTATACCCTTTACAAGATTTTATTAGAATATTCTACTAAAAAAAACTATGCTTCTAAAATAAGTTTGAGATTCTCTCTGGGAGTCCCTGAAAATGTATTTATAAAAGTCTAGAAATTCTCTGCAGATCAATCCAAAAAAGCGTGAAATTCATCCTTAGCTTTTCTACAAAGCTTTTTTACATCATTATATTTAAAATTCACTCGAATTCTCGTTAAAAGTCTCAAGCAATTCAGCTCAGAATTTTGTTCAGAATTAGTTTGTTAGTTCTCCTCTAAATTGTTCTAAAATTTTGTCTAGAAATTTCTCTAATATTCTCTAGAAATTCGTTTCGTGATGTACTTGGAATACCCTTAAAATTATTCTCAGAATTCTTTTGGAATTGTACCCTCCCCTTGGTATTTTTCAAGGATTCTGGGATCTTCACAAATCAACTTGGAATTTTCCACAGAACTACTTAAAAATGCTACTGTGAATCTGAACACGTGAATTTAAAATCTTTCTTCTAGTTCTTTCTAAAACTCCCGTTAATTTTCTCTGAAATACCTTGATCGAAGACAACACATCAAGAAGACTGGCAACTCTTCCATTTTCTCATACGAACGCTATGAGACAGGTACAATCGCGTCATCTGCCGCTCAAAGGTAAATGCTTCGAACGAATTTGATAGCAAAAATTACATCCTCAGAAGAAAGGTTTGTGTATTTGCTCATTTTTCTATGCGTTTATTCTTTGGTACAAGCAATGTTAATATTTACCTTATTTGACAAAACCCAGGTAATCATGACAGCAGTCTCTTTTCTTCATTCAAATTGTTTTCAATAATCAAACGTCATGATAAGCTGGGTTTTGTCAAATAAGGTAAATATTTACATTGCTTGTACCAAAGAATTCAACCTTCACTCAAGCGCAGCGCTACTGTATCTGTCGCTTGGATTTGGATTCTGGCAAACTCTTCGCCTTGACATTCATTCTAAAAACTAAAATCTTCCCAAAATTTCTTCGAAGCAAAAAATCTAGTCTGGTACAAGAATCTTAAAATTTGTCAAGGCCCAACATTTTATTTTTTTTTGCTGATAAATAGATTAAGTAATTTTTTCCCGATTAGTCATCGAAATTCCCGGCTTTTTCTCGATTTCCCGGTTCAAGGGTCTCCCTGCTCATCCCACATGTGCCCTAAATCATCCGATCGACTCTTCACAAATGAGAGAGCTAGATTTATCGTCGGATTCGTTCAATACTGGCACAACTCGAAATCTGTGAGGCCAAATGTGATATCATATGTAGATAAAATAGCCATAGAAATCTTCTTTCACAGGAAATGGTTCCGTTCTAATAACGTTACAGCTAAAACCTACACTTATTCCACAGGAAAAAAAATGGTTTGCAATTCTCACATGAAACGCAAATAAAGTTCATAAATGACATTTCCGCCACTGATAAAAAAAAAACGCATATCATTATTGCAGTGGCTGCTGTGCACTGCGGTGGATCGCCGAAATCTTCTTCATCTTGACCAAGTCGTTCAGCAGCATGTGGATGGTCTGCTTCGTCTTCGGGTAGTTCTTGGCCGTTGGTGACTCGAGCAGTTCCGCCTTGTCGTCGTACGCTTCCAGGGCTAGAAAATTAGTCGAAATGTCATATTAAATTAACTATAGTGAAAGGTAACCGAATGTGGAAATATTACCAATGATTTGCGCTTCGATGGCCTGCAGTCGGGCCATCGCGGCGTTCTGCTGCTTCTGAATGTGCTCCAGCAGGATGGCTTGACACTCGGCTGGATCGATTGGCGCTTCCGGAACGGGAATCTGTGGCACCGGAATCGGTTTCTGTTCGTATTTCACTAGCGCTTGCGATGTTCCGGTCGATTGAAGCGAATCTGTAGAAGGATTTCAAAATTAAAGGAATCACGACGAAATCAATCAGAAACACTCACTATTCAGCGGAACAATTCCTGACAGATCACCATTGCCTCCACGAGGTGGACTCTTTTCCCACTTTTTCGACCACAGGTACATTTTGGGGTGATCTTTCTTCCCCGCGATGTTGATCTTGACCTTCAGACTGTGCATGAATCGTTTCAACTCGAGCAGGTTTCCACCCAACATGTGACTCTGCCTCAGAATATCAAAACGGGTGGGGTGTTTCGAGTTCGGAACGTGGTAGTTTGCTACCGGGAGTTTACCTTCGTACAACCAGTCTTGATCGTGGATGTACCGGCGAGATTCGCGTCCCCCTTGCGGATATCGACAAATGTAGCAAACGTACTTGTCCGGGACTTGAGTGTCCCTCTCGAACCCGTTGCAGACTCCATGTTGCCAGCAGAGACATAACTCGCATTGAACCATCAGGCCGTCTTCCTCCCCGTACCCACACAAACAGTTGATGATCTCCTCCTTCTTCATCGAGACAATCTTGATGACCTCCCCGTTTTCGCTGATGAACCTCGGGCTGTTGACAGCTGCATTGATCGAATCGTCTCCGTACTGACCGCAAATGCTGGCGTTCGTCATTTGACTGTTTTCCGTGTCGAAACTGTACCCCTGTCGGAAGAAGCTATCGTTTCCGGCGGTGACGAACGAATGGCGCGTTTCATCAGCGTCCATGTAGTCCATCGAAGTCCGGGATAGGTTGAGCTTTCGCTTTTTCTTCTTCTTTGAAACTGCAGCCACCTTGTATGTCTTCTTGGAGATGAACCCGGCCTTGGATTTCTTGGTGGACTTCTTCTTGCTGGAGAACATCTTGATCTTGGTGGGACCTTTGGTGGGCTTGGTAACGGCGTACGTTTCGATGGCTTCTTCCGGATCGAATGGCGCGGAAGCCGACGCATCCAATGGAATGGACGTGGTAGAGGTTTCCGGTTTGATGTCCAAAGAAAGTGTCGATTCGGACGGTTTGTCACCCGGAGCTGGATCGAGTTTTTCTTTTTTGGCGGCCGGTTCCACCAGTGCGTCGTCTCTGTGGGAATTTGGAAATTTAAGATTTATTGCAAAATTGCGTTCAGTAAGTGACAACAACCTACCTTTTGTCTTCAGCTTTCTCGTCAGCTTCCAAGCCAGGTTCCTTCTTAATAACCACGACCTCCTTCTTGATCTCCTCCTTCAGGGAGAATTTTGATCCGGAAGCAGACACCGACTTCCGGCGAGTCGCCTTTGGTGGTGTATCGACAATATCCACCGGCGTCCTGAGCGAGGCCAAATCCTGCATATTGGGAATCTCTCCCAATCCCTTGGCCAGCTCCTTGTGGTAGTGTTTGATGTGAATTTGCAAATGATTTTCCTTTCGGAAGGTCTTCAGACAATCCTCCTCCGGACACTGGAGCAGATTATCGATTATCTCAACCTTAACCGATCCGATGTTAATTTCCGTGTTGAACAAAACCGGTTCCGCCGGGACCAGGGGCGGAAGCAGAGCGTCCTGATACTCTTGAGTGTAGTGACAGAAGCCCATTTCCTTGGAACGTTTCTTGTGCAGTCCAAAGTCGTACACATTCGGATCGTATGTTTCGCCCTTTTCAGCGAGAAAAGCCTTCATTTCCTGACGAGATCGGAATATCTTCCCTTCCGGATTGATCAACAGAACATCCATTTTTCCGTACGCGGTTATTCTTTGGTAGACATGTTTGATCCACCCTTCCGGGAGACGCCAATCGTCAACAATGACGCTGTAAACTTTCACTCCTCCCACCTCGATGGTGGACTCCTCGCCGATGGGAAAATCATTCATCCAATGGCAACACCATTCGCCGGATTTGGGAATTTCCGGATAGTCGCTGACCTTTGCAACCTGTGGAACGTGAAGTGCTGCTATTGGCGTCACTGGTGTCGGAGGAGGTTCCGCTGTGGATGCTAGAATTACAAATCCAAATCTGCCTAAACCTGCCCATATTCACAGACAAAAAAAAAAAAAAACTCACCATCTTCCTCCTGTTTGATCGGCGTAGCCGGGGCCTCCTCCGACTCCTGGCTAACGTCTAACGACTTCTTCAGCTTGCTGATGTGATTAAATTTGCACACCTTAATAAATCCATCATCGAACAGCACCTCGTACATGTCGTTCTCCAGCACTGCCTGAATGGTTGCCCGAAACTTCCTGGAATCGCTCCAGCGAGCGAAACACTTTTCCCCGATGGCATATTTCAGTTTTCCGTTCGGGGTCCTCGGCAGCTGCAGCGGCCGCAAGCGAACACTGTCCATCGGAATCCATTCGTCGTTCAGAGTGGGCTTGCTCTTCCCATTCTTCTCGAACTGAACCAGCACTTCCCGCTCTTCGGTGTCCACTTCCAGCAGCTTTGCGGGATGCCATTTGCCGGAGAAATCCTGCGCTTCAATTTTCGTCCCCGGAGCAAAGTTAATTTGGGACGACTGACTGGTGTTCGAAATGGCCGATGTGGACTTCCGTGGCAAAAGAGATGCCTTTTTGCTGTCCTTCGTCGAGGACGCAGGCGTGGGATCACTTCGGCGAGTCTTCTTGACCGATGAGGCACTAGCCCTTGTCGATGTTGCACGTTTTGGTGTAGCTTTCTTCCTGGAAGCAGGAGTTTTCTGCTTCGGAGTCGACTGAACCGGCACCAGAGCGTCCTCTTTCAAAACAATATCATCATCCGCCACTTCATGCTTGATCTCCTCCTCTTCTGTTTTAACCTCTTTCTTTTCAGCTTCCCCCTCATCCGGATCCGGCTTGACTTCCACCGACGTGGAAGGTTCTTCCTCTTTCACTTCATCCTCCTTCGCTTTCTCCCCATCAACCTTTTCCACTTTAGTGTCCTCCTTCTCCTCAGCCGTCTCTTCCTTCTTCATTTTGTCCGGTGTGGATGCAATCGTCCAGGAGAAAATCGTCGGAACGGCAGCAGACTTCAACACATATTTCGTCCCCTTAAAGTCCTGGAAATCCGCCTTCCGAAAGTGCCGACTGCACACATTCGACCCCTTGTTAATGACGTAATTCTCCGGCAGCCGGCAAGCAACTGTCCACTTTTGTTTTGCCTCTTCTTTCGCTGGAATCTTGTGGTAAGTCACGCCCCGATCTACCGTACGAGCCGAACTGGAAGGGCAATCCTTGATAATGCACTTTCGGACTCCCATCCCAACCGCACCGATGTTGATTCCACTGGGAGTCGGTCAAACACTTAGATCACTCGCGGAATAATATGATTATCGACCGGAAAACGACAGAATTCGCGATAAATTTCACAATAAACGTAGAATTTTCACCAGGAGCAAACAGTGCGCGTTGTTTTCGTTTCGAGTTTTGACAAGTCGCTTTGTGTTCGTCAAAAAAAAGAGAAGCGCACAGGGTCGTACTTCATTTCAGCATTATTCGGCAGTAGGTCACAGTGTCACCTGGTGGCGAGTAGCGTGAATACTTCTGCTCGCCGAACAGAAATTAAATTTTAGGACCATCCGCACCAGTGCGTTCCCTAATACATTTTTATTGGTTATTTTGCTTAACGACTTGTTCGGGTATCATCCAAACCATTTGTGGAACAGTTATATCGTTATATAATTTGGGTTATCATTCGTTTATGTTTTTTTTATTAGGGTTGTCATTCGGACTGATATTTTGACAAAATTCTACAGTAATCCCCCGTTCATCCAACACTCGTTAATCTGCCCGTAAAAAAAAATCCACGAAAAATACAATGATTTTTATTGTCATTGTAACCACAAACGAAGTGACAGACGACTAACTGGCGAAGAAATCCATTTAAATAATGTGGTTTACTGTAATAGAATTTTCTTGGAAGCTTGTGCCATCATCCACCAGATGGGTTAGTTTTTTTGTTTTGATTTGAACAAAGTTGATTTTGTGAACAATGATTCTTTGACAGTGTGCAAAGAGTGCGTATCCTTTTTTTCATTTTTTTATGCATTTCAGTTTTGAGTAGAGTGAAAGAGATAGAACCAAAACATTCTAGTACATTTGGTGAAAATGCTAGTTCAATCTAGTAGTAGCAACAATCAATACGAAACTAACGATTTTAAATTGGCTCACCACTTTAGTAGCCTATTGGAAGATATCGTCAGTATATGGTACACGTTTATTAGGGTTGTCTTAGAGTTACCTCTATGGATTTACTGTCTGTTTACTACTCGGCTTGCTCCGTTTATCGCCTTCATATATTAGGCGTCAGTCTTGTTTGTAAACATAATAAAATTCTCGCATCACTTTTCAATAGGCTCTTTCTGCATTGATCGATTCTCTTCATCGACTTTCTCTTTGGATCGTCACGGCCGTGTTAAGATATTTCCGGATATTTTGGACACCCAGATCGATGGAAGACACAACAATCTAGCATTTAATACGACAAGAAATGTTTATGTGGCTGCGTTATTTACGAAAGAGAGAGTCGATGAAGATAATTGAGAATTGAGAGAATGTAGATTGGTCTATTTGAAATCGGAGTAGGTAACTTACAATGACATTTATATAAGGTCTGGGCCAACAGGCAGCTTGCTGGTGTTAGAAGCAAAATGTTGTAAACATTGCTGAACATCTGCGAACAGATAGATATACGTCACTGCCAACATACTGAGAACAGATAGATATACGTCACTGCCAACAGCTGTTTCGTGTAAAAAGATAAACATTGCAATATAATACGAACACCACTAACCATTTGCACATTTCACTAACACCAATAAGCCCTTTGGCCCAGACCTTATATAAACGTCATTGGGTAACCTCAGGCTTGATGGAGCCGAGGGGGGCGACACATCTAAATCTCAATTCTAGATGCTAAACAAATCACACACTAGCGAATCAAACTTCGAAAAATCTTCTTTGATTTCTCGTATCTACTTGCATCGCGCATCATGTTTTTGTAGGAAATCTTGAAAATCGTCATCAATCTTCTTCATATCTACTCAGCGTGCGCGCAGCTAACCACAGCAAAACACAATTTTTCCTGCATCGTAGATAGAGTCGCCCCCGCTCGCATTTTTCTGAGGAGTACACAGAAAAAAACTACCCACCGCTTGGGTTTTTAAACTCAAATTTGAGTTATTTGACCTCTGCCCGTTTCATTTCCTCTCGCTATTGTTGTCAATAATAGAACGAAAGATTCGACTAAACCGTCTAGTTCCGTACGAGAAGCCAAATTTGAGTAATATGCGATATACCCAAATTTGAGTTAATTGAACTTAATTTTGGGTAGAAAAAATTGAAAATAACTTAGCGATGGGTAATTTTTTTTGCCGTGCTTAAATGCAAACTACTTTGAGCCGGTTTACCCAAATTTGGCTTATCGTACGGAACATGGGAGATGAGTGAAAAGAACTTAATTTTGGGTTGTTTTGAATTTCTGTGTAGAATCAATCTGCTGCAATCGCGCTGCTAAATTTGGTAACGCGCTTCTCACCGAGAAGCCGACTGCTATTTTAGTTACTCGTATGGCAACCCCCGATACGGTAGCTGCGCTATGATGAGGGCTGCTAAAATGAGTTTAGCAGCGTACCGTTACGGTTGCTCTAAGATGAAACTGTCGGAAGAAAAACTTTATATTTTAGTGTCCTCTTTCACGGTCCCTTTCATCCGATGAATATCCCCCGTATTCAAGGTAATTTTGTGATTTTGCTGCCCCCTCGGTAGAGATGAAATTTTGCGCTCATTTTTATCAAAACAATCACACCAAAATCAGAGATGTCCCATCTTTTAATTGGCAAATCAAAGTTGGCACTCGTGGAGAATAGAAGAACTATGAGAGTGATGATGGTTTCCAAATTTTACACGGTGAGGTATACGAGTGCAATCTTAAAATGCTATTATTTTGCAAATTGAGCATTTTATTTAAATCTGGTTAATGTTACGTTAGTAGAAAACTAAAGGACTACTCAAAAGACATATACTATAGAAAAAATAATTTCTTTTCAGATTTTTATGTGTAGACATAGATTTCAGCTTTTCTACCACTGTAGCAGAAAGCAGATTTAAATAAAATGCTCCATTTGCAAAATAAAAGCATTTTAAGATTGCACTCGTATACCTCTCCGTGGAAAATTTTGAAACCATCATCACTTTCATAGTTCTTCTATTCTCCACTAGTGCCAACTTTGATTTGCCAATAACTCGATTAACAACTAATCGATTATTTTTTTGTTCGCTGTGCTGCCATTTTTCCACCAATGAGAGTGCAGCACATGTTTGAAACGATCGGTGCTGATCCTCTGGAGATGTTAATGCTTATATCGGCATGATATAACCGATAACAAATATTTTAGTTTTCGGTTCGTTAATCGATTATTCGAATGAAAATCGGCCATCACTAGATGAATGTGAAACGTCATTTAAAATATAAGGACCGTACATGCACCCCTCAAACATATGAAAATCCACGAACCCCTCATTTTATCTGTCAAACTTTCATAGCAAATCAAAACAAACATTGTGTAGTACTAGAATTTCGACTAGAATGGGGTACGTTCATCGATTTGCTTGGAACCAATAGGCTAGTCAAGTAGTGAGCCAATTTAAAATCGTTAGTTTCGTATTGATTGTTGGTAATATCACAAACGAAGTGACAGACGGAGCGGCTCGAAAACTTTGGTGACTAACCTGCTATTGCAATTTTTCAGTGTACCTCATGGCAACATTACTACTGGAGTGTACCACATGGCAATACTAAAGGTAATAGAATATTTTGGTTCTTTCTCTTTTATCTCTTTCAAGACCGGCCAGGTGGTGAAACTCAGAATTACGAGTTCGCGGTGGACTGTTAAGGATTCTGAGAATCTTGTTTTGGATCCTCTGAAGCTTTAGGGGGTGGCACTTAGCACAACTCTCCCAGATTGCTATACCATACTCAATAACCGGCAGAATGATCTGCTTGTGGACAGCAAGCTTGTTTTTGAGGGACAGGGTGGCCTTCGTGTTTATCAGAGGGTAGAGCGACCTAATCAAGATGTTACGCTTGGTGGATGTCTTGTCCACATCGGATCGGAATAGCAATTTGCTATTGAGGGTGAGCCCAAAGTAGACTACTTCACTCGATGGGAGTGCTATCGAGATGGATTTTGACGTTAGCAGGTGGAACAAGCCGAGGTGAATTCGAGTGTGGAAACAGAATGGTTTGTGTTTTAGCTGCATTGATACAAATCTTCCAGCTCCTAAAATAGTCGGAGAAAACATCCAGGCCTGATTGTAGTTTATTCGCCAGAGCACGGATCACTCGACCCTTATAGATGATAGAGGTGTCATCTGCGAACATTGACAGGATACCACCATCCGGCAGGGGAGGAACGTCTGACGTGAAAATGTTGAATAGGATAGGCCCAAGCAGGCTACCCTGAGGGACCCCTGCATGAACGTTGAACGACAAGTAGTTTATGATGATCTTCACGAGGTAGATCGTAAAGTTGTATCGATGCGGCTTGTACACTAGACCATCATGCCAGACATTGTCGAACGCCTTCTCGACGTCCAACAATGCCATGGCAGATGTATTGTGAACGGACTTATTCCGCTTGATGATGTTAGTAACCCGTGCGAGTTGGTGGATGGTAGAGTGGTCAATTTTTCGAATAGCTTCGAGATGGAGGACAAGAGGCTGATGGGCGATAGTTTTTGGCACTGGTAGGATCTTTGCCAGACTTGTGTATTGGAATCACTTTGGCTAACTTCCAGCATGCAGGGAAGTAGCCAAGCTCCAAACATTTGTTGAAGATAACGACAAGATGGTTGAAGAAGTCAATACTTAAGTTTTTCAACTCGAGGTTGACTACACCATCCATACCCGCAGCCTTCATGTTTTTAGTGATTCCAATAGCAGCTATCACCTTCTCAGCCGATATTCTCCTATGGTTTCGAAACGAAAAAATATCAGTTGACCTAGGTAGCTCATCTATAACAAGTACGAGCTGTTAAATGATGTCCACAAGGAGGTGTTCTATCATAACTTCTTTGGTCATTAGTAGTAGTCGATTTACTAACTAGTCTTGAACCACAAGGTTTTGAAGTAATTGGATTTGCAGATGACATTGTTATAATTAACCACTTCATTCGAGCAGTTGAAATGACGTTTATTACCACTCGAACTTTGAACTAAAACATTATTTTGAGATTTTTTCATCTAGAACCACGAGAAAAGTAGCCATCATTTGTGCGTTTCATAAAAAATAGAAACTAGTTGGTCCAGTTTTATGGAATCGCTGGTAGAAAGTCACGCCAAAACTGTCAATTATCAGAGGTATGAGATGTATAATAACAACTAGGTAGGTCATGACTT